AACTGAGTATATCTCCTAATTGTTAGTGCTATCAAAAAAGTAATATAGGAGTCATGTGCTCTTTTTGAACCCAACTTGGTAGCATGGTAGCATGGTGGCATCAAAATTTGAAATAAGAGATACTGAGGAAAATGAAAATAATATCAACTTCGTAATGAGTATATTCTCTTAGTTAAAAGAGATAAAGAAAAGTGTTAATCGCATGGGTGACAGTCTGACGGGCGATTACATAATCTTAATGGCGTTGGTGATACTATAAAAGATCCTTAGATTCTCACATCGGAAAGTCTGGGCGTATGGAATACCTCCAGTAAAGGAAAATTGAATGACCAGTTCTCTATAATCATCATTAGCACCATAAAATGATTCGCATACTCACATGAATACTCTTCGTGTGCTGGGGGGTATGTGCAAATTATTACGTAGAATAAATGAAAAAATTCTAAAAGTACAGGTGAACTTGTTTGCGAATAAATTAGTAATCGTACTCTACAAACTTGAGCAGTGTTCCTCCCGCTATAACTAAGGGAACGAAATTATTTTTGATTTGCATTCAAAATAACTATTGGTTGTCTTGAAAGTAATCAGAAAAAGTCTTAAAAGAAACGACAGTGTAAATTGGCTGAATGGAGCAGAATTGTATCGGATTTTGCCCATTTTCGCTAGCTATAGGATGTTTTTTTTTATAAAATTGCCATATTTACATACTCAAGAACTTGCGATACAAAAATAGCTCGTTAAAACAGACTTGGAGAGTTTCCAAGCTGATTCTAGGGTGCTAAGAGTCTTTTTACAACAGGTTGAATATTGAAAGTATTGAGCATTTATTACTCAATGATTGAATCATGAATGTTATTGTGCTCTAGTTGCTAATTTCTCAAAATATTTGAATGAGATACAAATACTTGGCAAACAACGGAAGCACAACAGTACGTAAAGTGGAAATCAGTTCAGCCGTTTTAGAGAGCATTTTCACTACCTACTATATGAGAGATAAATACCATTTTGGTCTCCATTGTCGTTTATGGAGATGTAGTTAGAATAACAATGCGCTTTACTTTGCAGAAAATGAGGGGCACGACAAATTTTCATTTATTTAAAACAGTTTCCGTGACATTTAGTAAACATTTTCAAATGCGCGTAGGCGACCTCTTATTTATTCAGGGTGTTTTTCAGCTGATTTATATGTGTATCTAGATAAATATGTAAGGGATCGAGGTGAAAAACACCCCCTCTAATCCGCGCTCCTCAGAAGTTTCGAACGCTTTTATCGCAGAATTTTAACTCGAAATTAAAGATTAACGGAAATATCTCGAACAAGAGGAGTTTACTTTTTAAATGAAAGTTTGCGCTCACAAAAGCCATTTTCCGAAAACAGCGCGCCCCCCGTTACACTTCCCACCCGTTTCCCAAGTTTCTATTTTAACACGTTTCCTCCATAAATTCACCTGACAAGTAACATAGGCGCCCGGTGTTACTTAAAGCTGTACAAACAAATAATCGGCACGTTGCCTAGCGCGAGATTTAGGAAATGAAAACGCCGACCCGTGAAAATTCAATGTATCGTTTCGCGATAATTAATTTTTAATAAATGTGCCGACCCTCGTTATTACAAGTTCGGTAGGTAATCTGCAGCGGGAAATTTAGGGTTAATAAATTAGCACAAATGTTGAATTCGATTTTCAGTTTTTTTGTACGGGAAAAGTTCCCGAACTTTTGACAAATAAGAAAGTTTCTCTTTTACTTACTTTAGTCCCGTCTTTTCAACCGCACGTGCTGTCCTGCAAGTTTTCGAATTTAAGAAGTTGCCTTTGGTACTTCGGAAAACTAAACTACTCTCTTGTACGAAAAGAGAAAATTCGAGCTTCTAAAAAGAATGACCACCAGGTAAATCGCTCTAAGAACCCTCGCGCTAGACGCTATCTTGGATTTTGTGACGTAGCCTTGGTGAAGGCTGTTTTCCGGTGGCGGCCTTGTTTATGGTGACGTAACTAAAGAGTGACCTTGTTTGTGGTGCAAGGACGTTCAAAAGGGTTCTTTGCGTAACCAGTTATAAAAGTAAACTCGAACAGCGTCATAACGTGGCGTACCTTTCGAGGAAGAAGAGAACACCCGGATGGAACTCAGACCTTGAAAATGTTAAGGAGATTTGCAGGCTCTTTAATAGGGCCATGCGAACTACGCCACCTGTGAACTGGGAAGATCTTAAGATCGCTCAGTTCTAGCTACCAAGAGAACATTATCGTGTTTCTGCTCCTAATACACAAGCTATCAGTAAAAAAATTATGCTAGCTAACAGGAGAACATGATGGGCGAGGAGGTCTTTTCCCATCACCCACAAACATATTTCAACGCCAGACTTCGCCTTATTTTGTATCGGGAGAACATAATATACGAGGAGGTGTTTCTGCTCCTAATACGCGAACTATCCGTTAGAAAATTTTTGTAAAATTTGGAAACTAGGAGAACATGATGGTTGAGAAGTTCTATTCCAGACAGACGCTAAAAAACTGTAACATCTGTGAAGTGCGCGAAATCGATAAAAAAACTTATCTGAAATTAATTCACAAATACGTATTCTTTTCCGTTGATTGCATGATCTGCGCCCAAACTAAGGAAAATCCTAGTTTTAAGCGAAAATTGAATTGATTCTCCTGCGTAATTTTGCTTTTTTCTTCCTTAACCACATTTTGCAAGGCGCGCGTCTTCGAAGAGTGGTCGACTTCGGGCGCCCAAAATGTATCTTCCGCTGCGAATTTCGTCACGTGGTTTAAAGTTTCTTAAAGCTCGAATTGCGGTCTCTCTTTTTGGAAGTGATGGTGGAGTCAAAACTGGCTAAGAGAATCCTGAGAATACGAGGACTTTGATAATTTGTAGTTGCGAACAAGAGAGGGACAATAAATAAATAAATAATGTCATCTAGAATATCAACAACCTTGCTTAATTACTTTTCCGGCAAATTGGAGGTTTTCAGTTGTATACAGGGTGAGTCAACGATTGCGCGAAGTAACTTATTGCCTTGAAGATCAGATTTTTCGATTGTATTATGATATGGTCGAATATTTTCCACATTTTAAAAATATTTGGAATTATACAGGGTGCGCCCACAAAGTAAGACGCCAAAATGGTACATTTTTTAAAATGGAACCCCCGTATTTGAATGCATTTTTTTATTCTACGTGTAATTTGTACGACTTTTTATTATATGGTTAATAATTCGAAAAACTAGTAGTTTTAAAGATAATTCGGCCCCAACGCCGTTTTGGTATCCCCCGCCGAATTCAATGCGATGACGGACATTTGTGTGTCATATTTTAAAAGGCAAAAAAGTGGAAAAATTTGATTCGGCTCAAAAGGACCAATATATTGGTGAGCTCTTCTTTAGTCAATCTCACCGTATAGGTTGGTAACAATGCAAGTCTCCGCTAGAGTGAGTTTATTTCTCATAGATACCGCCGAAAATAAGAAAGTTGCGTGTTACACGATTTTTTGCACATGCAATTTATTTGCTTTTATTAGAGGGACCTACCATCAAAATTTCGTTCGGATTGCTCCATAAATACGAAAGTTGCGTTTTGCGACTACGCCGTCTCGCACCGCCCATGTACCCAAATCGCCATCGATTCTAGAATATGAACGAGATAATACAGGCGACCAATGTAAAAAAACTGTATCGTTCTAACCGCCAGCGTCTCCGAGTAAACGCCAAAATATGACGAAAACGCATTCGGGAGGGGGGGGGGGGGCGGGTTAACAAAAAACACTAGTGTAGTTGTCATCCAGTCTCACGCCTTTTATAGAACCGTTGACACATTGCTCGGCTTCGCCTCGCACATTGAAACACAAAAGATAGTATCGCTTTGCTTCGGCGGCCGCGCCATCTGTATGCAATTATGGGGGGGGGGGGGGTATAGAATGCTTGTATAGAATCGTTGACACGTTTCAGTCTTTCCTAGGTCGTCTCGTTTCCGCGTCGCGAGGAATAATGCGGAGTGACATCGATAAAAGCAAACTTTGCACTCCCCTCGACCCAAACGGCCCATAGTTTTTGGATGGATATCGCTATCGATTAAGTGCGTTCCGAGGGGGGGGGGGAGCAGAACTACTTTTGCGAGCAATTCTTCGAGTTTAACAGTTTACTCCCTGTGAATTTTTTTCCGGAGGCCCACAGTTCGCGCATTTATTCGAATCGCCGTTGATTGTAGAACGCGGCCGATCAATATGTGATCAATACCTAAAAAACCTCTTCGTTCCCGAATAAACGCCAAAATATGAAATCTACCGATGAGAAGGAACTGGGGAGGGGGGAGTGTTCGATGTGAAATCGAGGGATACAAATACGAGACCAACGTAAAAAACCGCATCCGTCTAACCCTCGTAGCTTCCGAATAAACGTCAAAACAACGAAAGAGTATCGTTTAATGGTTGGGGGGGGGGGGGGGGGGTATTTTTTACGGGTGATTATTCTATATCTCGAAACTGTTTTTCGTTCGAAAATTCCCCCCTCTCACCCTTTTCCGACGAAATCGTCGTATGGTACGCCGGCAGTTGGGGGACCAATTGTAAATTTTTTCTAGGTCGTCTCGTTTTCGCGCCGCAGAGTGACGTCGATAAGGGAAACTTTGCCCCCCCCCCCAAGGCCCATTGTCCTTGAACGGGACCCCATACGTTATACGCGGGCAAGTTGGCGCTATCGGGGGGGGGGGGGGAGTTCTACTTTTCGAGCAATTCCGCCATTTTTCCACCAAAAAATGAGGGTTTAAGGAGGAGCTAAAAGATGCCAGAAAAATATACAGGGTGCTCCATTTAAAAAAAGTGGGATTTTTAATGTGAAGTTTTGTAACTTTGGACCTACAAAAAAACACCCTGTAAGCTATTTTTTTATAGTTTACCTTTCAATGTAGCTAGATCAAAACCCATAATACCATAACATTAAAAACGACCTGATCTTATGTTAATAGCTACGTTTATCAATAAACAACCCACAAAGTCACGTTATTAGTTTTATTTAGCTGATATTAGCCTAAAGTACATTATATAGAGTGGTTCCAATATCACAATAAGGAGTTTCTATCATTTGTCGTAATTGAATGTATTGCACTGATCAGTTGAACATTCCTTGCAATTTGTGAATGTTGAATTCTGTTTTTGTACTTGGTCGCACAGTTTTCCTGAACTTGACTTCTGTTTACCAGAACACCCTCTATGAATGTTACCTAAATAATTTTAAAGAATAAATACGATTATCATATAATCCCCGTAACTTACGGCCTCCCGTTTCGTACGAGACGCAGAACATGTCTAACGATGCACTCTTCGGACACGTCATAGTCAAATTGTTTACCTTTCCACTTCGACAACCAACTGAACCGCCGTCGCAGCTTATACAGATTAGAGCTACGATTAAATGAAGAAAGAATTGCTAAAAACAAAAGTAGTTACCCTCCGAGAAAGAAAAACTCCACAAGAATAGTGTAACGGTCACTAACAAAAGTTTAAAATACATCACGTTGATTGTATATCGACGAAGAAAATATACACCTATTAGGACGCAGGTCATGCCTTTTTATAGCTGTTGGTGAGTAGGAAGATTAGATTAGGTTTTATCCGGAAAATTGCTTTGTTTGCATGCATTCCCTGTCTGTTATCGGTACTTAAAAACAAGTTGGCAAAATACAGTCGCAATTCCAAATCGTTCTTGAAAAAAGCACTATATGCATTACAGGTCCATGGTCCACAGAATTGGAGAAAAATACGACCGATAAATAATGCCATTATAATCCGGTCTTCCGCACATTTCGAGCTTGGTATGGAAAAGGCAAGAAAGAAAAGAAGATAATTCATTTGCAATACATCATAAACAAGATAAAGATAACGTGATCGAATTTCCTGTTGTAGATACCTATTTGGGATGTATCTCCTGATTTATCTTACCGATATTCAAAAAGTGTCGCAATTCGAGGTCTTGGAGACTCTTAACGACACTAATGCCCAATTTCACAAACCATGATTGAGGTTAATCACTGATTAACACTACTAGATTCAACTATTAGGTGTTTACCATTTTTAACCATTGATTAACCATGGGCTTGGCTGGCTAATGTATTATACTTTGACTTTAGATACAAACAGAACTTCTAAAATAAACAAAAATGCAATGAGCAGGTGTGACAAAAATACAGTACAATGGTTTGTTGTCTTTCCTTACAGCTATTGGACCTGAGAGGGGGGGGGGGGGAGTTACAAATCGTTCTAAAACCCATTAGGGTACTCTTCAAGACGAGTAAGTGTGTAGCCCTCCTTGGATTGAGCATAACTTTTGGTGCCCCATAAACTCCGAAATTTTCGGACTTTATTCAGTGTTTCTCTAAAGACTCCTAAATAATTGCAAGAGATGAAGTGAAGCACCTCGGTGGGACGGGTTCCTTTGAGGTGGTTATTGGTACAATGCCATCCCGCGTTGTTTTCCACCCCCAAATCTAGGGGATCTTTTTCGTTCCCACGCCACGCTTGTACCTAGTGATATTCCTAGGAGACTGTGCCCCTACCAGGCTAAACTGGAATCAAGAACTTCTCCCCTGCACTGACCAACTCATCCTGAGATGTATCAGGGTTTTGGGCAGCATCCTGCAACAGTGGGTTGCTCTTCAGGGCTTTAACTTAGTCGTTCATTGTCGAAAAAATGCCGATGTGCGTGCTCCCTGTGATGGTGCAACCGTTTAGAGAACAAAGTGTTGATTGAGGGGTCCTTTCCTGGTTATGGTACAGAGGCTGATCAAATGTCTTGTTTAATGCTTCTTCCTGCTGAATGCAGGAGGACAGATTGAGGTGCCCTGGAGGGAAATACAGATGTACGAGATGTACGGAATGGTTTCTCCGCGCTCATTTCATTCCGATATGTCTTCCATAGTAGGTTACTAGGATCAGTACTTTGGATGCTATAGACTCACAGACAGTCGTCAAATGGGACGCTTTTAGTCGATATGGGAAAAATTGTCGTCCTTCAGCCGTCGACTTCCAGAGATTTTTGTTTCTTCTACCTTCCATACCATGGCTCTTGACTATTTTAAAAATCTTCAATGACTCCATGGGATTGACAGGTCCGACTGAAAGTTCCAGTCTCTTAAAGATTTAAATTTTGCTGAGAGAAAAGAATGGCTCTCCTGGAGGCATTTCGTATTCCCACAAACACCCGATGCTAAGTTCTTCTCCAAAGCATTTAGAACATGATATGTATTCAAGTTATTTATAATAATTGGATAAGGGTGCGCTGACGTCATAGAGATACATTGTTGATTCTGTATTCTGTAATATTTGACAAGCACGTTTCCTGTAGACTGACGAAAATATCAATGTTTTGACATCACATCAATAGTTCTTGATCCCATCCTCGTCGCCAAATTGTTATGTATTCGCTGGACAAAGGCTGTAGATTTGCTAATAACTTTTATTCTAACGATTGACAAACATTGACCAATTTACAAAATTACAGAATACAGAATCAACAACTTATCTCTATGACAACGTCAGCGCACCCTTATACAATTATTATAAATAACTTGAATACATATCAGAACCCTCACCATGCAATTGTTGAGACAAAATCAGGGGGGAAGAGGAAATATTTTATGATCTCGTAATAATGGTCATGATAGTGCCGAGAGTTATGTTATCCTCGCCAAAAGTTATCAGATTATTCTGAGAGACACAGAACACCCTCTCCGGTAAATTTGTCATGAATGAAGGTATCTCAAGGTTTTTTGGGGAATATTCTCCGTGAAAGAAACATTCGACATTCTTCCCTCAACAGTTGTCCCGATAGTACTGAAGGCTCTAAACGTTTTTTAGGGGAATTTTTCGAAACAAAAAATTTTTCCTTATGTGATGGTTTTGATCGTCCGTCTGTCTGTCTGTTCCTCGTCTAGCGGAAAAGAGTTCAAAGATCAGTGCTATTGAATATGAGCCGGATCAAAAGTCTGGTTTCCGAATACGAGCGGAATGACAAAAAATTCCCCTACTGAAAATCGTATGCGATTCTTCGTATCTTGTTTAAATTTTCTTTAGGGTTGCGTAGTGTTAGAGGGAGTGTACAGGGTGTTTCCATAAGAAGATTGATTTCTACAAAATGGCTTTTAATGTATGTTCTTAATAAAGCTAGCGATCTGACATTTTATGGGCCACTGGTTACTTAATGGGCCTTTTGCAACAATAAACGGCTGTGGACTTTTTACGCCTTTGTGCGCACGTCATGATTAAAGATGGCCGCGTTAACTAATTAGCACCATTCTGGGCGTGCTACAAATCAAAAAGAGGATGTACCAGTTTACTTTGTTATGCACATAATTATTTTTGGTTCACGGTCACTGCATTCATTGTTTGGGATTCGCTGGCATACCTTGCTTGTAACTGTCACCTGTTGGTGTATTTTTTTCCACGCAAGCCTCAAGGCGCATTCTATGCTTTTCAATTACAACATTCCAGTAGAAGCACGCCTTAAATTGAGCACATTAAACAGTGTTGAGGTGATGGTGAAGTCCACGCAGTGGAGGATTCAGGATAAGATCTTGGGGAGGGTAAATTTTAGTACAGTGATGGTTAGGTATCGTATTCTGGGAGATCAGAGGGTTCTCCCCCGTACAAATTTTGAAAAATATAACCAATAAAACAGCTATTTTATGCATTTACCACACTTACATACCATACCATTCCCTCAAAATGTTGTTAATGACTAGGGACTGGACCTATATGTATGAAAACACGTCAAAAATGCACATATATATGCACAAAAAATATGGAAAAAAAGCATGAAGATGTGGAAGAAAAATTAAATAATGCACAAAAAATTATTGAAACTTTTTTAATTCAAATTATTTAAACATTAGCTGTATTAAAACAATTAATGATTAAGTATTGTTCCATCGACACGAGTAATTGGAGCGTACTTTAGTTGAGGTATCAGACGAGGTTCTACATTTAAATGTTCAACAATTTCCCCAGCCAACATTCGTCATCTCATTTGTTGAACTTGAAAATTTTCTTGCATTATAAATTAATGTTGAACGCTGACGTTTTACAAATTTTATGCATTTACCACACTTACATACCATACCATTCCCTCATATAATATTTAAAATGCATTAAATGTTAATGACACTTAACAACACTGCGGTTTTAATAGATAAAAAGCCCATCTCAACCGAAGAAGGTTCCGCGAATTGCATATTCTTGAAAACAATCGCACGACAATCTTGGCCTTTGGGAGGGGCCCGTGGATCCATGAGTCCATGAGGATCTAACTGCAATTTCCAATTATGATTATTCTGGCGATTGAACCTATATTTTGTGGATCCCCAGTTTAATTTGGGCGGGTTCCTCCATTTTTCTCCGTGTTTTGGGAGGCTATACTTTGTGTTTCACCAATGACGCTAGTACGGTCAGATCCACCTGGTTAATTTGTGCACTTACACCGATGTTAATTACAAGATAACTGCAGTATCTTATCAAGACACCTGTAGACCAGCTAGCAGGCATTTTTTTTTGTAGGTTAATCTAGAAGATTGGACATACATAAGGAACTAGGGCTTTGGGCCAGAACGATATATAATTTTGCTTTTTGGGAACTGTTGTGAAATTTAGCACATTAACTTATTCGATCATTATCGAGTTAGGTGATTTATTGTGCCTGGGAATGGGAAATTTAATTTAAGTTTCTTATCGTTGAACAACAATATATTATCAATATTTCATTTAGTGATACAACGGAAGTGTTATAACGGAAGCAGAAGCGGAAACAGAAAATGCATTTTTTCTGCGGAAACGGAAGCAGAAGTGAGGTTACCAAAATTGCCCTCAACCCTTTTTTTTTCTTTTCCGCGCTAGGTGGCCGTCTATGAGTAAAAGGACGTCCAGCTTAACCCACTGTTATAAGGAGTAGTGACTAGTGCAGGATAAAATGAAGGCATTCGGTTTTGGAGTACGAGCGCGTCAACTACGTCGGTCAAAATATAGTTTAATTTTGCGGGCATCAAGTGGTATTAATAGATATTCGATTTTGGGCCACGAGATAAGCGGCCCAGAATAAAAATGTTGTGAGGCATTTTATTACGCGTTATTTTTACGTGAGTATTAAGCTAAAAAGACGTTTAATTACTAAAGGTTATCAGTTTCATAAAGCAGTGCAAATTATACATATAAATGGAAACTTCAGAACATTTTTCATGCATTGACCAGTGCTTGCTATGTTTTTATTTACCAATAGCATCTATGGTTAGGGCAAAGAAATGTGTTCATAAAACATAAAAATTGACAATGCGCACACCTAATCTTTACAATATACGATACGCTTGCGGACTAAAAGCATCTCTCTAAATAAGAAAGTACTAGAAGCATCTGTGGTGAAAAAATATATTAATACACTGCACTTTTTTTTGGAGTGACCTATTAATAGATCGTATTGTGAAAAAGAAAGTTTCTTGACGGCAGACAGTAAACGTAGACTGTTCAATGCCCGATAAATTACATCAAGAGCATCAATTTCTAAAGGAATCCTAAGAAACGCCAACATTGGTCCTTTGATCCAGCTTCCGTTATCTATTATCCATTTCGGAGGTACCATCTCTAGGAGAAAGGCCGTACTGTAGTTTCCAAAGAGCGCTATATGTAAGGTATTATCGGGTATTGTAATTTCTTTTGATTTGTATAAAAATAACGATCGGTTCTCTTTAAGAATATTCATGAAATAAATATTATTTTTTTATTGTTCATTAAAAAAAGAAGTGATCCTCATAAAAATTATGTCCGGATAATTGGACTGCTTACTCCCTTCACTGAATTTAGTTAGACACAGTTTACGGTCGATTATGGGCTCTCAAGTAGCAAAAAACCCTCGATTAGGTACAAGACACTTGTCCAATCTTGCTTTCCAATAATTAAAGTAAATTAGGGATATTGCACCAACGTGCAGGTTTGGGCTTTTGAGTCAGCTCGCCCAATCGCAATTGCGTGATGAAATTTAATTAAAAGATAATAATATCCAGTGCACAAAGAATTTAGCCAACAACAACGCCTTTGTTATCGAAGGCGATTTATCAATATGGGTTGCGCACACCCCATTGTTTTTTACCCCCATTACCGTGCACTTAGCGCGAGTGTCGCAAATAATAATAGGCGCCATGCGAGCTTTTAACATGATCATCCCTTAATGTACACCGAGACTGGGTTACGCTAACTAGACAAAGTTAATCAATTAATAAATTATTACGTGCTAACAAATTCTGACGAATTACCCACAAGCGTCGTCGGCGTCGGCGAAATGCAAATTCGGTTCCTCCAGGAATTAACATTTAAATAAACGTTTCCCTTAAAAGAGAATTGAATTAATTCCCTTACGTTTGAAGACGGAAAGCAGAGTGGGATGTTCGTAAATAAATACTAAAGCGGCGAATTCCTGAATTTAATATCAACGTTCCAATTTACTTTGCCCTCGGTTGCGACAGGGCGAACTCGGCCTACATTTAGAGAAAGATAAACAGGTTTGGTAAAAGCAAAAGTTCGACGATATGAAGATATTTCGATCGAAAATTGACCTTTCTGAATGCTCAAGATCTGGAAATTTAGGCCCAATTTTAAAATAATTAAATCTGGAAGGAATGTTTTTGTAACCAGAACTATCGACCTTGGCTGTTTTCAGTTTTATGCCAATTTTCGTATTCCAACAGGAGAATAATTCGATTAAAACATGCTTTTCCACATCTCTGAATGCTGTGCCCATCATTTTCCTTTGTTGAGTACCCTTTTCAGAAACTCCCCTTTTGAGTTATTCGCATTTGAAGTTTTAACCCACCGGCCAATGCGCTTCGTGTATCTTTTTTTCTTTGTAAGCACTCTTCCGACACTTGGTTTTTGAGATATCCGCACTTGAAATTCTGACATTTTTGGCGGCATTTGTGCCCTTATGCCTCTTGACGTATTCAACAATTTAGAATTGACTAGAGCGAATGCAGCTTGATCCATTGAGACATACTCGTTTATGACCAAGAGTTCCAATAGTCATCTGGTTTTGGGCATGGAAATTTTGGGTCGGGTTAATAGCCTCCGTTAGCAGCCATTTTTTTTAAATGAGCTTGGAACTCAACGCTCAAAAGGGTGCACGATTCACAACTCACAATTTAAGACTCAGGAGGAATGAGTGCTCAAAGCTCAAAAAGATTTAAGATTAAGGCCTTAGTGCTCAAGATTCGGGAGTCACAATCAACAGGGTACCATTCAAAATACACGAC